GACCTGATCGTCAGACTCGTCCTTCCACTGCGCTTCAAGCCTCTTCATACGCCGATCCACCCTCCTCACCATACTCGACAAGCGAGTCAGGTCACTCCCGAAATTATCTATGCTCATAATAAGGTATTGCAGGGTAGGGGAAGATCTACAACAGAGGGTGTTTGACGCACAGAAATGGGACTGAAGGTGGGGTAATTGGGGCTGGCTGCGCGTCTTCTATGGTTTGGAGGCGCACCATTGGTTGGCCTAGAGGAAGACATTTTCTTGTGGGTGCTTCTAACACTACTCATGACATATATTTATAGCAGAAGTGGTGGCGTTGTGGGTGGGAGTGGTTGTTGAAGCCATTTGTGATTCTAATCCATAGTTCAATTAATATTCAACTAGTCCAATACACATTTATTATTCTATTAGAATTCTATTTACATATTATATTGATTTTATGTACGTATGTATTGTGATTTTATGTACTATAAGTATTGGGATTTTCTGTACGTATGTATTGCGATTTAATGTACGAATATCTTGAGTTATTATGTACGTACATGTGTGGATGTTATGTACGTAAGTCTTCGCACAATTATTCTGGGATATTTAGTACAAATTATATTGACAAAATTACGTATTTATTGGGTTTTAATTCAAAAATACATCTGTACATGTTTGTACAATTCTGGCAGAATTAAGTAGTTGCCTTGTTGGTCTCATACCGCAAATATATACTCTTAATTTTATATCAATATAAATTTTAGCATCAAATTTTGTAATTGATATGACTTATATAACTTTATCAACTTATATCGTTGCATTTACCATAAACAAATCAAGAAAAACGGAGGTGTTTTACAATACCTCTTTTTAGATATTGTCAACTAGGGATAGTGAGAGTCGAACCGAGGGCAATGGGTCAACATGTGCCAACACCTAAGCCAACAGTCCATTCTTGGTCTCAATGTTTGATTGGTACATTTTTTATCCTTCAAGTAACATAGTGAAACTTCTGCAAAGGTGAGTGTTAAAATTGGAGTGAATTTTTGTACAACCATTTACTGTTGTCCAATTACAATTGCCGACATAAATGATTCATATCTTTGATCCATGTAGGTAAAATAATGTAGAAATGTTTTCTACACATTACATTATTTTTTTCCTACCTTGTAATGTTTTGTACAATAAAATAAAATTAAAAAAAAAAGAAGAAAAATTAGTAATTTAGAATACCTCTTTTTTCAAACTTGTCACTCGATGATACTGAGACTCGAACCCAGGACAAAGGGTCAACATTTACCAACACCTAAGCCAAGAGTCCATTGTTGGTCTCAGTGTTTCATTGGTACATTTTTTATACTTTAAGTAGCCTGACTTACATTAATATTTCTGAACAAACAGTCTATCCAATTTGACAGTGATCCTCCTATGTCTTCCTTGCTTACAAAACATGGTCATACCCAAAATAAGACATACATTTTGTAATGTTCGAAGAGTTAATTTATAAAACATGGTGACACTGAATATGTGGAAAATATTAAAAGGATGCACATAATGAATACAACGTCAATTACATGACAGCTAAAGGTAATAAGGCCAACCGAAGTAGGCCATAAACTTTGTACAAGAAGTCCAAAAGGTTACAAAGATACACACAATCAATGAAAAGTCAATTACATGACAAGTTTCTTCTCAATATTCGAAGAGTCGATGCTAAATTGGATGATTCATCCCCGACTTCATTGCCATTCAAGATATTGGCATCACATTCACTTACCTAGGTGTCTGCAATTAACCAGAACGAGAACAAATGTAATCCAACTAATTTTACTAAACTATTATCTGCGTTACTATAATGAGAACAATGAAATCAATTAGTGGAGAAAGAATAAATGATTACCTCATCACCTTCCAAACAATGAGCACTTGATTCATCATATAAAAAGGGAGTACTGAACAGTTGAGATGACAACATGGCTAGATCGCCAATATCAACCTGAAACATTTATATTGTTGACAATACATATTAAGGTAGGAAGAAAGGAGGCCTTAGGCATCCTCCCAGACTACTATATGATTTTAACCATACCATTGATCACCTTAGTTTATCTGATATTCCAGTGGATAATGGATAATTTACATGGGGTAATAAAAGGTTTAGTCAAAGAAGAATTTATGCAATGCTGGATAGAGATCTTATGAACCACGATTGGGATAATTTATTTCCAACTTCACACATTATTCTTACTCCACAACATTGATTTCAGATCATAGGGGACTTCAACTGAAAATTCCTTTGCACATTGGTGAAGGTCCAAAGCTGTTGGTGTGGAATAAACAGGAAGTGGTTAGCAGCATTATCTCTGATGTGTGGAAGACTAATAGTCATGGGAATCCAATCCAGAAGCTGCTATACAACTTTAGATTGGTTAAAAGGGCTGTCAAAAAATGGAATGTTGAGGAGTTTGGGTCTGTTTCTGAGGAGGTTGTTGCTATTACGAAGTCTCTTGACCAAGTGCAATTCAGTTTAGCTGAGAATCCTATGAATGATGTTTTCATTAAGTAGGATATTAGACAGAAATTTGAATGTGCTAGCTTTAATGAAGCAATTCTTCTATCTCAGAAGACAAGAATTACATGGATGAAGGACCAAGACAGGTGCATAAGGTATTTGCATCAGCAAATAAAGAGCATACGGCTCGAACTAATATCACTGTCATTCAGGATGCGGAAGGGAATTTTATACAAGATTATGGGCATATGAAAGACAATGAGGAACTTCATTTTGGGGCATGATGAAGATATTATAAAGATACGAAGAATTTAGAATGGAAAAAGCTTGCTGCTCCTAAAGAAGAAGGTGGTTTGGGGGTGAGAAGCGTTTTGGATATTGATTTACCTGAAAAGTGTGCATTAGCTTCGGATGTTTTTACTATCGAAAGTTAGGATTTCGGTGGTTAGGTATAAACATTGTTCATGTTACTTAAGGAATACATCCTTTTGGTAGGTTATTCCAAAGGTTTCAGATTCTTCTATATGGATGAGTATAGTTGCATTTTAGGGGACTTCATGAAGATCAACTGTAAGTATGTTATTGGAAATGGAACTGACATCTACATTTTTCTTCATCCTTGGTGCGATGGTAAAACGATGGCAATTTTTTTATTCACATACAGTTTTCGATCAAGGGTTTGGGGATGAAAATGGATAATATTCCAACTAATCTACATCAATCTTTTTCTACAATACAAGATTCATGGAAAAACAAAGAAAATAATGCATCTTAATTAACACACTCACATGGTTAGTTGATGAAGTACATGGTTCACCAATATTAAGCTGTCTGTTGTAGAATACAGCTGGTGGTGTTACGTACGATTCTTCATTCAGAAATTGGACGAGAATTTCTGCACCCTAAAATATTTCATATGAACACTATCAAAGCACGTTTAAACATAATCAACATGTTAACCAACATTCATGAATACTAACTACTTATCTATAATATACTTGCAATCATACTCACACTCACTAACACGTGGGACGGGGTTGACGGACTATCGCTGCCATCGGCCTTTCCCAAAATAACGGTTTTATTTGATATCTAAAACATAAAAATATTTTAGTTTCTTCCACTCACGAGTGTTTTATGAGGAATGATATAATGTTATGAAATCGAATTTATTTTGTTCGCATGTTCAAATAGTTAAATAATGAAATAGCAGTGCGTGCGATAGTAACGTATACCTGGCCTGTTGCTTTCATTGACTTCCTCCTTTTTCCCACTATTTAACTCTATGGCTCGTTTCAGCCTCTTAAATCGTCCTTTAGAGGTATATTTAACTTTCAGGGACATGGGAATTGTTCCACTGCTGCTTTTGACCTTTTTTTCCCCTTAAGCAATTTTCTCTGCAAACCTACGACCACAACTTATTTGTACTGTTATTTTCTAGTCCAGTGCTTTTTTTAATAGATCATTATATCCTTCGGGATCGTACGATGCAATGAAAGATATTTCAGTCAGTGTACGGCAAAGTGTCCTATGTCGCCGCCTAATATTGAGGATCCGGATTCACGTTGGTGGAAACAATTTTGTCCAACTACCATCTCTAGCATTTCTAGTCCACCTTTTTATTATATATCAGGAAGGAAACTCATTCACAAACATGCAGTCTTTAAGGATTTCCAGACTGTGCCTGCAAAAATAACCCTCTCTTCCAAATTTACAACATGAGCATGACAATTCATCTTCAAATGTCCTGATCACACGACGTTGCACCCCGTCCTCACCAGCAACTTTATAAACACGGTGTCCATTATTATCCAAGTCACTGTAACTAATAACAGCCTGACTCGCAAGAGCAGCTAAAAACTCCTCCTGGAAAAGCTGAAATATTATCTTGTTGTACACCTTCCCTGCTTGATATAATATGTGGCACTTTGTTTTTAGTTCCGGTTGATTCTCCACCAAGCCATACTCGGCTTCATACTCCTTGTACCGTTTGTCCGACAACAATTTGTCAAAGTGTGTGAAGAATTTTGGTAGAATAAGTTATCTGGAAAGGTAATACTTCAATTGACCATTGAAGCTTTCACTCAATTGCGTGCTACTCAGTCCTACAAACTAGTCGTGTTTGACAAATGCCAGGGCAGGGCCCATTTATGTCTCAAATCTAACAAAGTGGAAAGCCACTTATTACCACCAACACCATACTCTGCAATCATTAAATCACATTCCCTGATAAAACCATCCTCCTCCTCAATTTGGAACATTAATTTTGAGATGACTTTCTTTATTCCTTCAATGCATTTAAACAGAAACAGTAGGTTCTTCTGCGCATTATTCATTAAGTGCCAAAAACATAAATGATGATTTGTCACCCGTATGACCTGCAAGATTAATTAACTTAATACCTATGTTGCAATATTGCAAATACAAAAAATACGACTGAAATAATACGATTGTTTCGGCATGAAAGTGACAAGAATGGAGATGCATGAAAGTTATTCACCTACTTTAATGCCTTCGCCATTGTAGCATCTTGATCCGTAATAATCGTCTTTGGAACTTTTCCGCTCATCGCTTTCAAGAACGTTTCAAATAGCCAAACAAATGAATCCGCTGTCTCATCATACATTATGGCTGCTCCAAACACAGCGGTCTCCCAGTGATGATTCATACCCCAGAAAATTGCAAATGGTCTGTTACTGTGTACCACTTTATATGTTATGTCGAAACTGATAACATCTCCAAAATGGCCACAATCAATTATCATTCTACAATCTGACCAGAATATGTTCGTAATCATTTGCTCAGTATCCAGTTGCAAGGAATAGAAGAACGAAGGATCTTCACAAGCATGCGTCTCAAAATAATCCACAAGCCATGCCGCCTCTCCATAAAGAAGCTCATTTTGTCTTTGCGTCCTTAGATAATTTTTAAGATCCACTTCCAAGTATCCAACTGATTCTTTGCCACCAGATTGCCTTCCCATCAACTCATATGCATTACAAGCCGGAACTCTTGAATCCGAAGCCAACTCAATATCAATGGCCTGGACTGAGGAAATTCGTCGCTGAGACGGCATTATGTGGCTGCATTCAACAATTATGAATGGATGGTTATGACTTTTTACAAATTTAGAAACTACGTACTTTGCCTTTGTCTTGTCATATCTAAGAACCATTTGTGCACCACAATTTGTTCGTGTTTCAGCCCGGGGAGTCTTTCTAAATACATCCCGTTTATCAGTCCCCTTCACACCTTCCTTGCTATAAACTAACGCCCTTGATGTAATTCTTCCATTAACTTTATTGCCATACTCCTTCCGGATGCTAAAACCAATTCGACCACTATATGCATTGTAAAAATCATTTGCCTCTTCCTCAATATCAAACTCCATTTTATACATTGGTTTCCATTTAATCACTTCTGGTTCTACAACAGGAACGTTTCGTCCGTTTGTTGTGTCTTGAATATTATTTACTCTACCTTCCATCTGAACGGCTCAAATACAAAACATTTTCTCACATATGCAAAGAATATTGAATTAACAAAAAAATCATTTTACTTGTACATCCCAAGTACATTCCATCTCAATGGCTCAAATACAAAACATTTTCACATGTATGACCAATCAAATAAAAAACCTTTTCACATGTATGAGAAATTAAATTTGACATATATCTTATTCATTTATTTGCATGTATCAATCAAGTATATCCCAGACAAACGAGGACAAAAATCCTCGTTGCCACAACAGAACATATATGTCCAACCAACTGATGCTAATTTCACATACACTTTCTGAAAATGTTGAGATTAATATTACGCAAAATTTGGGATTTACGTTAGCAAACAGTTGGGATTCACCTTACGAAATGTTGGGACTCACCTAAGGAAAAATTTAGGATGTACCTTTTGAAAAAGTTGGGATGTAAATTACGAAACCTTTGGGATTCAAATTAAGAAAATTTTGGGATACACTTTACAAATACTTTGGAATTTATATTACGAAAATTTTAGAATGTACCTTAGGAAAATGTTGTGACTCACTTTACAAAAATATTGAAATGTAGATAAAGAAGAATTTGGGATGCCTATTAGGAGAAAGTTGGGATGCAACTTAGGAAAACATTGCGATGCAAGCCCAACGACCAAACATTTTCTTAACATTGTAACACTCTGAAACACTCTTTTCCGGGCTAGTCATGTATCCTACAAATCCTCTCATTTTTTATCCTCATAAACAAACATTAAAACCCCTAATAACTGCACAATAAAATAGTGATCAATTCAAATTCAACAATAATTTTCTATTTCTGGGTTTCTTACCAAAAATGTGTCTATATATTCTTACTAGTTATATATTTTTTTTTCTACCATTCAGTTCTTATGAAAATAAAGACGATTTTCTTCAAAATCAAATCTCAAAATTATGAATCATACCTGCTTAGGGTTGGAAATAAGGCGATCACCTGCTTCGATTTGGAAATACACTCTTGTTTAGCTTTGGAAATACACTGCTGCTTCTTTTTGGAAGGAAATCAGAATCTGCAATTTTATTATGACTAATAGAAGCGCTGCTTCTATTTGGAAACAATTTGTAGCATCCAAATTTTGGGTTGATTTACACAACAATCACTACTTCTGGAATCTATTTGGAAATAAATAAATTTCTAAAATGGCTTCATTCATATTTTGGGAGAGAATAAGGCTAGTGGCGGGATTTGATTTATATTTCAAATGCCGCCTAAAATGAGGGAGGGAAGAGGAAGAAGAAATAAGGGAGGGAACAAAAAGGGTGTATTCTTCAACAGTATATACATATATACACGAAAATTCTGTATTACAAAAATATATTTTTTTAACCAAACATGGTAAACACTGTTCATTGACCCAAAATGGAGCAAATGGGACACTATGGGACTGGAGGTGATCCTGGTCCTAAACAACACATATATATACCCCTTCCCCCTCCTTGCCCTATGTAATTAATATATATATATATATATATATATATATATATATATATATATATATATATATAAAGCATTTATTCAAGCCAAGTCAATAACCAAAAAGAAAGGGTTTTTTTTTTTTTTTTCTTACATGAATTGTCCAATTATCAAAATTGTCTCCTGGCCGTGCCTTCTGCGCCGTAGGTCAACATAGGCAGACCCCATCTGCTCTGCATGCTGATTGTTGCACTTCGCCTCCACTCTCTCGTCCTCCAATGGCAGGCGAACGAGTGGAGGTACGTCCCTTAACTCCATCTTTGAATAGAGCTCTATGTTCTCCCTTCGCAGGGTCTCAATGATTTGCATTGACTCGTCGTTCCTGGCCCGTTCGTTCTTCGCTTGTGGATGCAAGCTTCCTTCTCCGACCATGGTTCCCGATCGGAGCTGTGTCATGGTTTCAGTGTTGAAATCGACCAATTTCCTCCTTTGATTCTCGCAGATGGCGCAAGATGTAGATGCAAGAAAATTATTGTTTCTATTAGGGAAAGTTTTTCTCTTACACCAAATACTCTGCATCTTTTATCCTCTCTTAGTTCTATTTATAGTAGTTTACATATTGCCCTAAATTCCTTTCTTGGCTTCAAAGTAGAAAGGCTGATGGGTTGGACTTTCTTCTTAGGCCTTGCGGTTTAGAGGTCCATTTCTGTTATGGATGTGGTTGGACCTGAAGACCGTTATGTAATGTTCCTGATTGAGTGGTTTGGGCCGAATTTGGCCCATTGGGATTTATGGCCCTTTCAGGATTTAAATTATATAATTATGTGCTCACTTGTGTGTATTTATGTTGTTGTTATGGTATTTATTTTACGGTATTAATAATGCATTTGGATTGTATTTATTGGGTTCGGATTTATGTTGCTGGGGCATGGGGATTTCCATGGGCCAGCTCAGAATCCGATTTGGGCTTATTAGACAGACTTATTTGATGGGTTTATTTTGGACTTATTAAATGGACCTAATTGATGGGCTTATATTGTTAGACTTAGTTATACGATTAGGTTAATTAGGAGGGGGGAAGGCAGACTATACTATACATATAGAGAGAGAGTCCTAAGCTGGACTCATCTGTGTGCGTTCTAGGTCGTGAAAGGAAATCAAGAGAGGGCTGCAAATCCTTGGCTAGAGGCTGGAAGATTCGTATTGTTGCTCCATAATCGTGAGACAAGTACCCTTCTTCTCTTCCCCTTTGAATCTATAAACGTTTCAACTCAGTGAAACGGAATCATTATACATAGACACTGTTAAGAACTCTGATTCGATTATGAAATTTATATATTAAACCTGAAAACGCCCTGTTATTCCGAACTGCAATAATAATAATATTCCAATTGCTATGTTTCTGGTTGGATTACTGTATATGCCTCTATATTACGGAACTGTATGATTTTATAAAACTACGATTTTAACATGTTAGCTTCGAATTCTATATATGCTTCTGTTATTGCTGATTTTGTATGGTTTAAACTGTTATGCTTAATTGATAAGGGGTTTTACTAGTTTTGATTAATAATTATGTTATGCTGGTTTCGGCCTATATTTGTTAAACTTTAATGATTAAAATCTGGTTACATAAAACAATCACTGTATGCGGGGGATTAATTTGGTATGATAAAATTCGGTTAAAATTCCCAGAACGATAGGTTTTGACATAGCAATTATCAAAAAAAATCTAGTTCCTGGGGAGCTACCCTAGACCCCACCAATGGGCAGGCAACGAGACGTTAAATTAATTATGTGAACCTTAGTGCTACACTGAAATTATTTATGGGAATGATTTAATTAATATCATGCCATTTGTGTTATATTTGATATTTATCACTCTTTATTGTTTAATTTAACGGCTTGAAATGATAATAAGTTTACTATGTTTATAAGCATGAGAATGTATTATGGAACCACTGTGAGTTGACTATTAACGCAATCTCACAAGTACCTATTGGCATGGTTGATTTGCTAAGGCGGGTATTTGGTTTGGTTGCATGCATGGTTGAGTTGCATATTTCCTTATGTATTTAAATGTTGATTACATGTTTATGTAAATGAGGTGATCTTCTGGGGGTATTGCGGTGCATAGTAGATCACTCCTCAGTATCTGGGGTTCATGTCTTGGATTATGTTGTTTCTTTAGAGAAGTTGGGTTTATGGACTTTTTGTTAGGATGTAGTAGAAGGGACTTGTTCATGGGATTAACTCACATTTTGTTGACATTTCAGGTCCCAGACAGTTTCAACCACAGGATTGAAGACTCAGCTCACCATAATTCGATCATGATCATCCACTCTTTTCCAATTTTTATTTCAGTGAAGGTTCTGCTACCTTTTCAGACTTTGTGGTTTTGGATATTTAAGGATTTGGATTTAGGGGTCCGTAGTTTACGGGATTTTCGAGTTGTAATAAATAATTATTATGGATTCCAGCTTCATTTAATGATAGTATTTCCTTCCGCCTAGGGATGGCAATTTGACTCGCCCCTGCAGTTACCCGCCCCACCCCACCCCATTGTTGGCGGTTTTAGGGAACCGATTTGCTTATTTGGGTGGGGATGGTTTGATGCAATAAAAACCCGTGCGTGTTTGGTATGGGGGCAGGGGGAGGTCGTCCCGCCCCGTTTAGATAGGCAAATTACTTAAGTATTCTTATTTCATTAATATATATATTTCTCACTATATATTAATTACCCTATATAACAATATTAAAGTAACAAATAAATTTTATTAAAAGGAAAGTTATAATGGTGAAGAATTGAAGATGAAAAAAAAAAAAAAAAAAAAAATCCATTTCAACACTAATTAAATTATAATCTTAAACAGGGCGAGAGTAAAAATGTTAAACGGCTACGGGGATGGGGTGAAAAGTTTGGGAGAGGGTACACCTGCCCAAACCCGCCCCCGTAGCCATCCCTACTTCCGCCATGATTTCTTTTACTATTGTATATTATATTATGTGCTTGTTTATTACCAGGTGGTTGATGTTTTCTAATTTTTATGCATAAGTCGGGCCAACTTATATGTGAAAAATATGAGGCATATCACTTGTGCATCAAGAAAATGTTTTCCAAAAGTACATTTGAGCTTATTTTGTTAAATCCTAGGTTTGCTTAGACTTGGGCATTGTTGTCGATTGAAGTGCACAACACATTGATCGATCCATAGATCGTACACTTCGATATACCTAGTAAATTGTAGAAGGATCAAATTGTGTGATATATGAATCAATCGACACCACTAAAACTTCAATCCTTATGAGCTGTTTTTGGACAAAAGTTAGTTTCCTTTAATAGTTTTGTTTTGGTCATTTAGCATTAGTTGTATTGATCATAATTGAAGTATTTTTGGGTAGAAAAGACCCGAAATATACTTATTCTAGAAGTGTCTTTTTATCT